AGAAAAAATTAGCCGGGCATGGTGGTGCATGCCTGTAGTCCCAGCTACTCGGGAGGCTGAGGCAGGAGGATTGCTTGAGCCCAGGAGTTTGAGGTTGCTGTGAGCTAGGCTGACGCCATGGCACTCACTCTAGCCTGGGCAACAAAGCGAGACTCTGTCTCAAGAAAAAAAAAAGAGAGAGAAGATGTGACAAGGCCCCTGACTTCATCTGAGGAGGGAGAAAGACTTCCTTTGGGGAAGTGTTGCCTGAGCAGAACTCTGGGTGTAAGTAGAAAACAACTGGGCAAAGGAGGTGTGTGAAGTGGGGAAAGTGCTGTAATAGAGAGCCTTGCAAGAAGCTGAGACAACCGGCAGAGAAGCCTACTCCTCTCAGGAACTGAAAGAATGTGGTTGAAATGCACATATCAAAAGGGACAGTGCCCAAGAGGAAGCTGGTGAGCAGGCATGAGGAGCTTTGATGGCCATGTTAACGTCTGTGGGCTTTGCCTTATGAGCTATGGGGAGTATTGAAATATTTTAAGCAAAAAGGTTACATTGTACTTTTTAAAAAAGATTATTTTAGTTACTGTTTGGGAAAGGTATTAGAGACAGGAAGAAGTAAGAAGCTATTTCATTAGTCTTTAAAATTTGTTTTTAATGTAGAGATGGGATAATTTCATTAGTCATTTTTTTTTTATTTTTTTAATTTAAAGATGGAACCTCGCTATGTTGCCCAAGCTGGAGTGCAGTGACTATTTATTTATTTATTTTTATTTATTTTAGCGTATTATGAGGGTACAAGTGTTAAGGTTACTTTTATTGCCCATGCCCCCCCCCACTCTGAGAAAACAAAGGCAGATTGCAGCTATTCTGCGATAAAGGCTGTGTTAGTTATTGGGTGGCCAGGAATCTGAGCACCCTGGTACAAAGGCCCAGAGGGTAACTTGATAACTTGACATACTGTCATCAAAGGAGAAAACGTGTGAGGTCCTTCAGGAAAACAAACTGTTGAGTTTTAGAAAGCCTGTTAAAGTTTAATCATGTCCCATTCTCTTTTTGGCCATTAGACTGTGGCACTTAGTACGCTGCTATGGACTGGATTGTGCCCCACCAAAAGCACTTGTTAATGCCTAATCCTCAGCGTGATCTTGTTATGAGAATAGGCCCTTTAAGGAGAGAAATAATAGTTAAATGAGGTCTTAGGTAGGGCCTAATCTCATAGAACTGTGGCCTTGTAAGAAGAGGAAGAGAGATCTCTCCTCCCCACTCCCTGCCACATGAAGACAAGGCAGACGGCTGCCATGTGCCAGCGCAGGAAGACAGCCCTCCCCAGAAGCTGACCATGCTGGCTTCTTGATCTCAGACTCTAGCTTCCAGAAGTATGAGAAGATAATGTTTCTTTTTTTAAGCTACCCAGTCTATGGTGTAGCAGCTTGTGCAACCAAAGCACACTTTGATAAAACCCATGCAATCACCCTGAAGACATGAGAATCGGCGTACAATCAGGTGTCAGGAAAATGGGTCTGTTCCTGGCACTGTATTACCTTCCACGGTTTGTCGATGTTAGAAGACAGCAGGATCTAGTTAGCTGGTTTCACCTGTCCTATAAACTGCAAATAGTAATAATTATAAATAGCAAGACTCTTCCTCCATGTCATGTAGTATAGTCATGGGTTTTCTTTAACAAGTTATATGGCAAATTTATTCATTCATTGTTGTTTTTAACAAGTGAATAAAGATGGGGCATCACATGTACAAGAATAGGAGATTGATAAATTTTGATGCTTTGACTACATAACTATGAACTGTTGCTTTAGGAAATTTTGAAAAATATTATATGTGTGATATCATATTAAGTAAAAGTTAAAGAAGATATATTCTGATGTATAATGACATTAAAAAATTATAAGGATAGTGTAAAAATGAGAATAATTATAATAGGTGGTTGAAATATGAATCATTTTTCTCCTACATTTTTATTTTCTGAATATAGCAAGATGTTCTTTTTTATTATTTATAATTTTTTAAATAAATTCAAAAGCACCTATGGGTATCTTCTGTAGAGAACTGTCTTTTACTTATCAAATTGACTATGTCTTTTATTAGTTATTGAAAATTCCAATTGTGATTAAAGTTTCATTTGATTGTATAGTACTGTCATTTTAAAATATACAGAGTCAAAAATGACTAAATCAAACCAGCCAAATGTTTCCAATTTTAATGAGATCTGAAAGCTCTAATTTAGCCAAATACCTTCAAAAGACTCTGTTCAAGAGATGAAGACTGTGGTAATTAGATATATTCATCTCACTATAAATATCAAGATTGTCCAGAGCTTCAAGATGGAATGAGATGATATTCTTTAAAAAGGAAAGCTTTCAACCCTCCCGTAGCTGGATCTTGCTTTCTAGGTGTGAGTAGATAACAAAGGCCTCTTATACATTTATCCTTCATTTAGTCAATAGACATTGACTTAGGAGGTAGTGATTTAGGACAGGGCTTGAGAGCCAATATATCTCAGCTTAAATCCATCACCTACTAGACGTTCTGTACTGGTGTATTAGTCAGGATGAGTTAGGTTTGCTATGGTTAACCGATCAAACCCAAAATCTCAGGGCTTAAAACAATCAAGGTTTATTTCTTCCTCATGCTACATTTTCGTTGTGGAGGAGAGGGAGCTGTGCCACAGCGTCATCAATCGGAATCCACGTGGTGGAGACCACTCGGTTCTTGTAGCTATATATGCCCTTCAACGCTTTGGAGCACCACAGGATCTCATACTAGCAATTAGATGCTTCAGCAGAGAATGACCCATAGCACAGAGTGACACGTATCAATTCACTCATATGTTTATCGACCATTACTAGTCACAAGGCTATCTAACTGCAAGAGGGTAGGAAATGATCCTCCCACGTGCCTGGAAAGAGGAGACCCAAAGAAGGATGCACTAAAAGCCTCTATAACATTTTGGGTAAATTACTCAATCTCTTCGTGACTCCATTTCTTCATTTGTAGAATGAAGATAAGAATTGTGTCTAGGCCGGGCGAGGTGGGCTCACGCCTGTAATCATAGCCACTCTGGGAGGCCGAGGTGGGCGATTGC